GCAACAGGATTAAACCTGGAGCTCTCATCTCTACTCCCATGCTCCTTCTATTCCATCACAGCTGCCCAGTCTAAAAATGCCACTTCTGCTAAAAAGGGGTGCAGAACGGGCTCACGAAGAGGCTAAATGAATCACGAGCCAGACTGTGGCTGCAGAGCCGTCAGAATTACTTTCTGTCTGGGGTGCAGGCTCATGTGCGCGTGTGTCTTGAATGTCACGGGAAGGAATTGCTGCGTGGTGGTTAAAAGCCCTCGTTTCCTGAAACCGTGCAGGTAAATAGACTGCTTTAGAGACAAGCGAGACACACAGACAGACACGTGGGAAGACATGGCATTTAGTCACCTGAGAGAAGAAGAAAGCAATGAGGAGGTAAGATTCGATGGGAGTGACCAAGTAGTGTCTGATTCGTTACAGAGGGCAGTGCAGGTGGGCGGAATTTAAATAGTTTTCAAGTTTTGTCAGATCTTAATTGGCTGTGTCCATGAGAAGAAAGTGAGCAACCCAGTGTTTTTGACAGAGCTCGTGTGGATGGAGCTGGCATGGTTTCCGTGAGGTCATGTCTCATGTGTCCACCCTGGGCAGCAACCTGCGCATCTGCTCAAGCAGGGGCGTTCTTGGACCATTCTTTAACTAGCACTCAGGTGGAGAGAAGATTCATTTTTATGGAGGGAAGTGGGGTCTTAGAGTGGTTCCTGCATGTGGCCCCGGACCAGAAACATCAGCATCACCTGAGAACTTGTTAGAAGTGCAACCTCTGGGCCTAACCCACACCTCCTAAGTAAAACGAACTAGCTCTGGGACTAGGGCCCACCCATCCGTCTGGTGCTTCGGATGGCACCTAGCGTGTGAGAGCCGCCGGATGAGCGGAAGCCTCCTGTCAGGGCGGCCTCGGTTGGCAGCGAGGGGCGAGCACGGTGGCTATAGGGCACACAGACACTCAGCCATGGGAGGGACGCCCGCACGCACACCTGGAGCTTCCCCTCCAGGAGAAGTGAACCGGTGTTCAGACCTCACCTGGCCCCAGGCTTCAGAGGCAGGAGTTATAATGTGGCTTCTCCAGGGGCAGTGGAAGAGTGGGAGAACCTTTCTATGGAAGCAGCAGCTTGTTGTTTTAGTGAGACAGACGTAGCCCTAATCCTTCCAGAAGGGAACGGAAAGCTGGGGATGGCCAGGCGGGAGCTCCAGCTGAACAGCTGGCTTCGCTTGCTGGGGCCTCTGGAGTCTAAGGTGCTCGTGGAAACTGGTACTTTTGGCGTGCTTTTTGTGCAGTCTAGTGCTCACGGAGGAGTAGTTTGGTTGCTTCACTCAGACTGTCCTAAGGACATGGGGCTTGGAATCCCTCAAAGCTGAGTCACTGTTGGCTTTGTTTGAAATGTCATGGGTGAGAGCTGAGGCCAAATTTGTCAGCCCCCTAGGTCTACACATTATTTGTTTTCTCTCTTCTCACCCCTCCCTCCCACATATTAATTCAAAAATCCAGTTTATTCAGGCTGCAGAAATTACTTGTTGGCCAGCAAACGAGGGCAGGGACATCTTCACTAATGTTTAAGTCACCCCCAGTGCTTGGTACCTAGAAGGTGCTCAATAAACACTTGTACATGAATAAATGAATCTGATACCAACTTTTTTACTGTAACATCAGAAAAATTTTCTTTGCTTCTTAATAATTATATTCCCTTTATCCCATGACCACACATAATATACAATCAAGGCAATATAGCTCCGCGTGTGCCAAATATTTTACAGTAGTTTCCGCATCATCATAAAACTAAAACCAAAACAAGCATACGGTCATTGCTTTTGACTGGCCAGGAATGGAGACGTGAAGACCCTCATTTCATCCATCTGAGTAAGCTCTGTGGCCAGAGCGGGACCCTGGCCGCACTCAGAGGAGAGGAAGTGGCATCAGAAGGCTCCAGTGATTCTCGGTCAGCACAGTGCGACAGGCCCATACACGCCGGGATGCCAGCTCAATTGTTTCCATTTGAGGTTGTTTCTTATTTTAATTATCACTACCTTCCTCCTTTGGAGTTGAGAGGCTCAGAGATGCCATTATGCGTGATATAATTTTGTTAAGAGGCAAATAATTGCTTCTGAGTATCTTCATGAAGTGCTTCTCAGAGCAGCTTAATAACGTGGGAGAGCTAACTGCACGGTTAGCCATGGGGATGCTGCTGAACAGACAGCCCAGAACAGAAGCTGGGACCTCGGTGGCAGCCACGGGGTTGTAATTCTTAGTGTTTTGATCTGGAGACACCGTGCGCGGGGCCCAGTTCTGTGATGTCAGGAAGGGTCTGTCCCCATAGTGTCCATGCTGGGCAGGGGGACGGGCGCGTGCAAGAGGCTGGCCTCACTGTGGCAGGGCAACCGCCGGAACAGAGCCATCTCCCTGGGGCCGGGGGCAGGCCAGGCACCCTGCAGCACCCCACCCGGGCAGAGCACAGCCGGACACTGCTCTCTCTGCCCTTCTGCCCCTGTGTGTGACACGGGAGGTCAGTGCTGGCCACCAGGCTCCAAACAAGTGCTCGAAACCAGTGAAATGGATTCTGAACACTCGTCTAATAGGTGCAGGATTTGTAGGCTTGCAGAAGAAATCATCAGCAGGTGGCTACGGCAGCTTCCCCCGTTTCCGTAGACTGCACGAGTTTCTCTGAGTAGATACAGGGCATGATGGGGAAGAAGCAGGGACAAGGGCCCCAGGGCATCACTGCCATTCGACCTGGAGTCAAACTCTAATTAAAAGGGAGGATTCGTAGTCTTCATTTGGTTCCACATAACGGAGTCCTGCATTCTGCAAAATGTCCCTTTTAAGGGAGAGGGCATGGGATAAGGATTCTGGTACCACCCCCGAAGGCACGAGGGTCACAGGATGACAAGGACCGTTCGCAGTGCTTCACACACAGACTCAGGGAACTTCCCATCGGTGACCAGGCCACTGAGATGCTCAGCTCAGGGGCCTCGGTGTTTGTTGTATCCGTGTGTTTGTGTGCAATGGGCACAGAGACGTCCTCTTTCACTTTTAAAGGGGGAGGACTTTTCTTTTAGTGTGGTTCCTGGAAATAACTTTATTAGAAAATAGTATCACGATCTTTGAACAGCAGTCTTCCTCCTCTGGCTTTGTGGTTTAGTAAAGTGGAATCCGTTTGACAGCCAGTCTCGAAAATTTTCCTGTGAAACAGGTATTTACTGTCTTGTTCTTGTAAGGAAAAAGTTCTCTTTCCAAGGGTAACACTAATTCTGTGCGTCTTCTCTTCCCACAAGAGAAGCTTGTGGTGTTCTGTTGGTGTCATATCAGGGTTAAGCTCCAGGCCCCAGAGCCAGGGAGATTCGTTCTCTTTGCCTCAGTCTCCTCCTCTGTGAAAAGAGGGTGAGAACAGTACCTACCTCACGATTATTGTGGAGAGTAAATGGGCTAATATTTGTAAAGTGATCAGAACGGTGACTGGCACATGAGTAACTTTCCCCAAGTGTCGGCCCCGCCCATTGTTTTATTTCTTATAGAATCAATAAACATGACTCACTGGTGTCAGGATTTATAGTCAGGATGGCCAGGTACACTGATCAAGTACTCCCGTCCTGGGTTCTTCCTTTTCGTGATTCAGGTGGTAGCATTTTGAAAATAGTTACGCCATTAACCATCTGGGGGCTGAATAGGCTGTCACAGCTGCTCAGTCAATCCCTAGAGACATTTAACTCCTTTGTTGGAAGATGATGATGACGTGGAACTGATATGTTCTTCAAGTTTGCACAAACTCGCTCAATCCTCACAGCAACCCTGAGGTAAGTACAGTTACCATCCCCAGTTAAGAGCTGAGGGAACTGAGGCACTAAAGGTTTTGTTCAAAGCTACACGACTCTTCTGTAGCGCAGCCAAGGTTCTGAACTGCATACTGTCTGGTCCTGGCCCCCTCTCCAGCTCCATCCTCTGCTCTCCTCTCTGCTGTGGTCCAGCCACCTGCCTTCTGCGCCTCGAATGCCCTGCCTCAGAGCCTTTGCTTTTGCTAGTAACTCACCCAGCTCTTGCAGACGTGGCTCCTCATTCTGGTCAAACTCAAGTGTCGCCTTTCCTGACTTACCTAAGTTCTAGCCGCACCCTATTGTTCCTCATCACATTATCCTGCTTGCTTCCCCTACTAGAGCAGGACGAGGCCTTTTCTGATCAGTTTCCTACTAAATATCTGACACAGTGTTATTTAAAATTTGTTGAATAAATATAGGTGCTAATGATTTTAATAATGGTCTTAGCTCCTTTTCTTATGTATGCATGCAACCCAAATTGTGATATGCATGGGTGCGTGCACACGTATGTGGGTGTAAATGCACGAATGTGGAGGGAGAGAGAGAGTCTAATCTTAGTAATGTGGTACAGAACCACAGACTTCTCTGAGTTACAATCCTAGCCCCAGCGGTAATGGCCTGATGTTTTTCTTATGTAGAGGAGAAGCACTTGGTTGTATTGGTCTCAAAAGACTGTCACATGTTAAAGGAAATGTGTAAGGGTCTCAACCAGTGAATGATCAGCAAATAAAATATTTTTTTCCCCAGTGTTTAGGTAAAACAGATACTCGTCTTAAAAAATATATGTGTATATAATTTATTTATACACACTGTTTATGCACAGTGATGCACACACATCTTCCCTTCTTCCACTGATTTAAATTAAATAGTACTCATTTCATTTATTTGTTCTAGGGGCTTACCTACCCGATCTCTCCAAGGCTTCCATTGGGGAATTTGGCAAGGAACTGGGGTACCAGGAACGTGGAACCAGGACTTTAACAGAAAGGGATTTTCTATTCCTTTAGTGGAGAACTCTGAGCTACTGTAGATGCTGCAAGTCTTGTGGGAGGCGTCAGGCTCAGGCCCATGCTGGGGAAGTCTGGCCTGCACAGACCTCTGTGGTTCCGTTAGGCTGATGGCAGTCCTGCAGGCTTGACTAGGCCCCACGTCGACTGCTCTTCTTCCGGAACACGACCTCACTCTTCCCTCTTCTTCCCTAGATAACCAGTTCAGGATGTCCATCCTGGAGCGCCTGGAGCAGATGGAAAGGAGGATGGCTGAGATGACGGGGTCCCAGCAGCACAAGCAGGGGAGTGGAGGAGGCAGCAGTGGAGGGGGCAACGGGACTGGGAACGGAGGAAGCCAAGCTCAGGTACCAGCTTGCGTTGACCTTCACCTTTCGTCTTGTGTGTGTCTTATTGATTAGGGAGGCAGTGGGTCACAAGTCCTTTGTCTGGTACTGGTATCATTCCTGGACTAGTCCCAGGTTGGCTTCAATACACACCTGTGTCCACCTTTCATGATAAAGATGTGGCTGTTTTTGTTAATGCAAAAAAAAAAAAAAAAAATTCCCTCCTTGCTTACTAACCCATAACTTCCATAAGCTTGTCAATGTGTCTGTTTGGTACATGTGGGGCGGCTCTGCCTGGGCCTTTTGAGTCAAGGTCATTCTACTGCAGGTTGGGATCACCCACCTGTGCTCTTTTAAGAGCCCTAGTGAGGATGACATTATATCTATCATCTGCCTTTTCCTTTTTTTTTTTTCTTTTATTTATTTATTTGAGAGAGAGAATGAGACACAGAGAGCATGAGAGGGGGGAGGGTCAGAGGGAGAAGCAGACTCCCCGCCGAGCAGGGAGCCCGATGTGGGACTCGATCCCGGGACTCCAGGATCATGACCTGAGCCAAAGGCAGTCGCTTAACCAACTGAGCCACCCAGGCGCCCCTGCCTTTTCATTTTTGTAGGCGTTTTTTCCCGGACCTAAAAGTGAAAAAACAATGAGAAGCAACAATATTTCTGTAGTAATTGAATTTTGTGGGCTTTATTACTGGAAAAAAAACAAACACTTTTTAAATAATTCCAGAGGCAAGAATCAGGCTAGAAGTATCATTTATGTGGGGGGGATGTTCAGCAGACAGCTGCCATCACAGAGACTCAGATAAACTGTTGAGGTAACTAAGTTTGATTTTATTTTTCTTGCTTTACCACTGAATCAAGAGAAGAAAGCCACAGTTAAAATTCGTGAATTTCTCTTTCCTGTATGCCTCTATTGTTATTTATAACACTTAAATTTCAAGATCTTAGGTGCCTGGGTGGTTCAGTTGGTTAAGCGTCTGCCTTCGGCTCAGGTCATGATCCCAGGGTTCTGGGATCGAGCCCCGCAATGGGATCCCTACTCCTCGGGGAGTCTGCTTCTCCCTCTGCCCCTCGCCCGTTTGTGATCTCTCTCTCAAGATCTCTAACGCTTTCCCCAAAGGACGGGATTGTTATTGGATTTTTAAAAGTGTTTCTTTGGGGGGAAAAAAATCCCCTTCTAAGTGACTTAATTCTCCTAATGAGGAGCAAGGGAGGCAAAGGTCCAGGTGTATCCCTGGATGCAAGAACCGGGATGGCTACCCTGCTTTGCTCTCCTACCAGCCCACAGTCTACAGCGTGTACTTCAACTGGAGGCTGGTGGCACCTTTTCTTTTAGTGGTATACGCTTTCCCCAAGATGGAGCCGCATGACGTTCATAATCAGAGTGTCAGCTGTGATAGACAGACTCTGGGGTTCTCAGAGTTACGGAAAATGACCCTGTGCCACGAGCGTGGCCACGTGCCGCTGAGCTGAACCAAGCACATTCTAGTCTCAGTTTCTGTGCAGTTTGGTGTTTCCCAGTGTGGGTGGCTAATCGTAAAGCATTTGTTTCTCCCACCCGAAGAGGCTGACTTGACAGGGAGAGGCCCTTGGTCCTCAGTCGTTAAGGCGAGCTTCCTCCTTCTAGTGCGCTTCTGGCCCTGGGACGCTGGGCAGCTGCTTCGAGAACCGTGTGGTTGTCGTGTGTGAGAAGATGATGAGCCGAGCCTGCTGGGCCAAGTCCAAGCACTTGATCCATTCAAAGACTTTCCGCGGGATGACCCTCTTGCACCTGGCTGCTGCTCAGGGCTACGCCACCCTCATCCAGACCCTCATCAAATGGCGGTAAGGGTGGGGTGTGGACAGCTGGAGGTCGTCCTTGCTCAACAGCTTGCAGCTTCCTCCTGAGTGTTTCCACTGGTGGAGAGAAATCTGGTCATTCAGTGAGTGTGACCATGGCCTGTGAGCAAAGGGCTTTCTCTGAGGACAGTTGCCAAGGGAATTTTATGAACTTCTGCCCAAGAAATGTGGACTGGGGTACTAACTAAACATTGTACTTTTGTTTCCTCTGGACCGCCAGTCCAAACCACCCTACAAAATTAGGGGCTCTATTTCCTCACATCAGGGATGTTAGGTGCCCGCTTTGGTTTCATTTTTGTGGGTTTTATAACATTCTGGTGTCTCTCTTGAACACTGATTCATTGTGCAGTAATTTCTGGTGCTTATCCCTTACAGCACAAAGCATGCAGATAGCATTGATTTGGAACTGGAAGTTGACCCGTTGAATGTGGACCACTTCTCCTGTACTCCTCTGGTAAGGAATAGGTTCATTTATTCCTGAACTCTTCTTAACTGGGATAGGGATATGGTAATGTTTTATGGCCCCACTGAGATTGCCAGCAAGGGCCGATTTGTCAGTTGGCAGCAATAGCAAAAGTGGAATATGTTTTTTAACCCGTACTGAGAAAGCTTGCTTTGTTTTGCTGTTTTTTAGATGTGGGCATGTGCTCTAGGGCACTTAGAAGCTGCTGTCGTTCTATACAAGTGGGACCGTCGGGCCATCTCTATTCCTGACTCTCTAGGAAGGCTGCCTTTGGGAATTGCCCGGTCAAGGGGTCATGTGAAATTAGCCGAGTGTCTGGAGCACCTGCAGAGAGATGAACAGGCTCAGCTGGGGCAGAACCCCAGAATACACTGTCCTCCAAGTGAAGAGCCTAACACGGATAGCTGGATGACCCAGTGGCACAGCGAAACCATCAGCTCTCCAGAAATACCCAAAGGAGTCACCGTTATTGCAAGTACCAATCCAGGTAAACATTCAAAATTACTACATCTCAGAACTTGACAGATTTCCCATTTGCTTTCATGCAGCTACCCTCAGAAAAGTCCATAGGATATTCACATATGTTTAAGGGTTTGTTTTTTGTTTGGTTTTTGTTTGTTTTCATGTTTCCAATTTTTCTTTTAGCTGTAAGAATGCCTACTGCTCCCCCCACCCCTCCCAAAAATAAATGCAGAAAGTAGCAAAAAAAAAAAAAAAATCTGTGTCCTTTCGAGAAAGAAACACAAATTTTGGAGGAGGACTATCTGAATACAGTATATGCTGCTGGGGAATATTTAAATGTTAGGGTCATGTCTTGAGTTCCGGCTTTGCACTTTGTGTCTCTCAGGCATAGAGAAAGTGTTAATTCTTTAGGATTCCTAATTTTATCGCCTGTCCTGACTATCCTTTCTACTGTACTTTTCAGAGCTGAGAAGACCTCGTTCTGAACCCTCTAATTACTACAGCAGTGAGAGCCACAAAGATTATCCAGCTCCCAAAAAGCATAAATTGAACCCTGAGTACTTCCAGGCAAGGCAGGAGAAGCTGCTCTCCACTGCACTGAGCCTGGAACAGCCAAATATCAGGAAGCAGAGCCCTAGTTCTAAGCAGTGTGTCCCCGAGACAATCAGCCCCAGTGAAGGAGTGAGGGACTGCATCCGGGAAACCTCCCCTCCCACTCCAGAGACTGCAGGATTCCAAGCCTCTGGATCTCAGCCTGTAGTAAAGTGGAATTCCAAAGATCTTTACATTGGTGTGTCTACAGTGCAGGTGACTGGAAATCCGAAGGGGACCAGTGTAGGAAAGGATGCAGCACCTTCACAGGTGCGTCCACGGGAACCAATGAGTGTCCTGATGATGGCTAACAGAGAGGTGGTGAATTCAGAGATGGGGTCCTACCGCGATAGCGCAGAGAGCGCAGAATGCTCACAGCCCATGGACGATATTCAGGTAAGCGTCGACAAGGTAAGCCTGCAGAGGCCGGGGCGTCAGTAGTCCCTCCCGCCGTCTTCATAGCCGGTCCCCCAGGCCATGTGATTTGCTCACCAGCAGAGGGTTAAAAGTGCGGTCTTACGCATAAGAATGTGGGAGTATCTTCTTTGCGTGGACCATGTTTTCATTCAGTGACTCAAACGTTGTTTGAATAGGGCCTGAACACCAGCGACCTGGGTCTCAACACCAGCTCCTCGGGGCTCACCCAGGGCCCTCCGGTGGTCTTCTGCTTCCCTCCTGCATCCGGGGGGACTGACTTCCTGTTTAAGTACGAGTTTAACAGAGTCACGGCCCGGTCATCACTACAACAGGAGGCCTATGGATAGAATTTGAGTGACCTAAGTGATATGATGAGCACAGCTGTCATGTGGCCTTGGTAAAGGCGTATGTGGTATGAGGCTTTTGAGGTGCAGTGAAATATCCCTAAAGCTGATAATTGTCCTTATAATAAACCTAGAAACTCCAGAATCCTATTGGGGCATTAAACTTGCAATAGATTGAGAGAGTATATACTGCAGTAAACTGGAGGTTAAGCTATTAAGCAGGCAAATTCCATTAAATTCAATATACTACATAGGGGAGGACCAAATGAGCAAAGAGGATGAGTTTGACTTCCTCTCTTTCCTAGTTCCTTTATAACCCAAAACAAATGTAACAGAGAAAAAAGTCCCACGAGCAATTCAGTAAGGTTCTAGGCCTATAGAAAATCCACAGGAGGGAGGGGCCTGGAGAGCCCCTATCCTGGCCGGCATTCCTAGGGAGAGGTCTGATTGCTGAGCTGCTCCCCTTCATCCCAGGATCCCCTTCCTGCCACCCCAGCTGTTAGCACAGATAGGAAAGGGGGGGCCTCCACTATTTATCTGCCAACCACTGCAGTTGTGGGGAGGCGTGCCAGGGAAATCCAAGAACCTGTTAGACAAGAGGTTGGCAAAGTTTTTCTGTCAAGGGCCAAATGGTAAATATTTTAGGCTTTTGTGGGCCATACAGACTGTCGTGACTATTTAATCTGCCTTTAGAGCACAAAGGCAGCCCTAGATGATACTGAATGAGCGAGAGTGGCTATGTGCCAATAAAACTTTATTTACACAAACAGGTAGCTGGCTGGATTTGGCCACACCGCATATCAATACTAAGCAATCTAGGACAGTATTTATGAGCATGCCGACTGTGAAAACCTGCGCTGTTCACTGGTGCGCTGGGCAGTGATGGAAACGTTCGGTGTCTCTACTGACTGCCCGTTATGGTAGCCACTGGCCACATGTGGTCTCCGTAGCAGAAAATGTAGCCAGTGTGACTCAGGACACTGGATTTCTGATTTTACATAAGTTCGATTAAGTTTAAATAACCATCGGATAGCAGAGCTTGGTAGCAGTTGGCCTTTGCTAAAATAGGATTGGTGCAGGAAATACAAAATAACCTGAGAAGTTCTACTTTACATTTTCACAGAGCCTCGAGAGAGTAATATTTTGGTACCTTAAGAGCAACAGTCTCAAGACATATTCAGCCAAATGCAAGAAATGACAGTGAAAAATAATTAAGTAATTCAAGAAATAATGAAGTAATTTGAGCCAGAGTTCATGGAAGAGTGGACAATAAACCAGTAAAACTGATGCATCTGAGGACTTACTGATAGTGTGACTATACACACAGGGCACTTGTTAGGAAGGGTTGCTTGAAATAGAGGAGGAATCCTGTTTTAGAACTAATGTTCTTATTATTTTAGTAAAACCAGGGAGGTAAGGAAACGAAGAAGGTGAAGCAGCTCTCTTACTTGGGGAAGGTCGCAGACCTCATTGATAGATAAGCGTAGGCTGAAATAGGCTTGTTAGAAATGTCAGGTTAATAGATTGCATAGAAACAGACTACAGAATTTGTAAGTCATTGAAGGGGGGAAGAGGGAATTGGGGCCCATTTGGGAAAAGTTCAGGAATGGTAAAAAGTAAAAGTGAAGCAACAGAAATAATAAGCAGAAAACATAATATTATAGGAATACTTTCAAACATGATTCATTCCCACTTTGCTAACTGGCAATTTTATTAAAAGATTCTCAGATTGGATTAAAAATAAAGAAGGCAAAACATACTATGTTCCGCTTGTAAAAGACAGAACCCAAATGAGATGACACAGAAAGAATGAAAAGGAAACTATGGGCAAAGATAGAACAGACAAATGAGTATAAGAAGAAAAAGGATACAAAGTATAATTTAAGGCAAGTAATGTATGTATCATTTGTGGAGAAGATACAACCCATCAATAGTTGTGTAACTGGGCGCCTGGGTGGCTCAGTTGGTTAAGCGACTGCCTTCGGCTCAGGTCATGATCCTGGAGTCCCAGGATCGAGTCCCGCATCGGGCTCCCTGCTCGGCAGGGAGTCTGCTTCTCCCTCTGACCTTCCTCCTTCTCATGCTCTCTGTCTCTCATTCTCTCTCTCTCTCAAATAAATAAATAAAATCTTTAAAAAAAAAAAAAAGTTGTGTAACTAACAACACAGCCTCTGAATACTAAAGCAAAACCAGTGAATACAAAGCAATGTGGCACCACACTCATAATCATAGTGTGAGACTGACATTTATCTCAGAATTTGTCAGAGTGAGTAGATACAGAAAAGATTGAAAACACAGAACAAAGCTATTAGAAAGGTGGCTTTCATAGATATATTTAATATATGTGATAGATTTAATGCAGGATATACTTGTATGTAATTATGCAGATGTGTGTAATTCATACACTTAGCAAGTATACAGATGATTTTTTTTTTTTTAGATATCCTAGACACATTCATGAAAATTGCTCATATGTTAGAACACAACGAGAATTTAAACAAAACCCAAAGCTGCACATTTAAAGGCTATCTTCTCTGACCACAATACAAGAAATTTAGAAGCAGATGACGTGACTTTTTAGGTCCCGCTGCTTGGAATGTTATTGTTTTGTTTCAAGTCATTTAAATTTCCTTGCTTTTTGCAGCTTGCCGGTAAAAAGCGTGTGTGTGGCAGGCCAGCGTGTGGCACTGTGGTGAGGTTGAGGTGTTCTCACGCTGATACGTGTTCATAAAATGAAGGCCTTTGGGGCGCGACTGTAGAGTTATAGCCTTCAGTCTCCAGAAACTCCACTTGGCTTTTAATAAAATACTCAAATACTTTCATGGAAAAGATATCAGGCTAGGACTCCCTGCTGCTTGAGTCACAAGTCAAGAGGCTTAGATGGAGGGGAAAAGAAAGGCTGTAAGACTTTTTCATTTTTATTCCTATTACAAGAACTCGTCTTGTTTATTGAAAATCTGAAAATTACCCAAGATGACTTTTTTTTTTTTTAAAGATTTTTTATTTATTTATTTGAGACAGAGAGAATGAGAGACAGAGAGCATGAGAGGGAGGAGGGTCAGAGGGAGAAGCAGACTCCCTGCCGAGCAGGGAGCCCGACGCGGGACTCGATCCCGGGACTCCAGGATCATGACCTGAGCCGAAGGCAGTCGCTTAACCAACTGAGCCACCCAGGCGCCCCAAGATGACTGTTTTTAATAGCTTCATGAGGTATACCTCACATCCCATGAAGTTCACCCCTCTCAGCTCTCCGGGTGGTGAATGTCACTGTGCCCTTTGGAGCACTGCCGTCACCCCCAGAAAGGTTCCCAAGCCCATTTGTGGTCAGCTCTGCTCCCCTCTCCCAGCCCGAGGCAACCACCGATCTGATTTCTATCCCCAGAGTTTTGCTTTTTTCTGGAAATTTCATATACATGGCATCCTAACATTTGCAGGCTTCTTGCACTTAGCATACTGTTTTGGAGGTTCTTCCACGTTGTAAGATAAGCATTTTGTCACCTTTGTATAGATCCTTTCAGAACACTTCCAGTTCACTTAAAAACTTAAACTGCTATTATTTCAATTTCTGTTTTCAAGAGACATGCAAGGGAATCTTTTAAAAACAAGACTGTATCTCCAAGTTTAATTAAATTCGTGGCAGTGCAGGGACGCCTGGGTGGCTCAGTCGGTTAAGCGTCTGCCTTCGGCTCAGGTCATGATCCCAGGGTCCTGGGATCGAGTCCCACATCGGGCTCCTTGCTGAGCAAGAAGCCTGCTTCTCCCTCTGCCTGCCTCTGTCTCTCGCTCTCTGATAAATAAATAAAATCTTTAAAAAAATAAAATAAAAAAATAAAATAAATTCATGGCAGTGCAGACTAAGCTCTGAGGATTCCTAATTCTATTAGGAATGTACTTGGGGTGTAGGTGTCAGCAGCCTAACTATAGCTTGTTTATTCTCGCTCTCTCTCTGACAAATAAATAAATTAAAAAAAAAAACAAAACTTTGCCCCAAACCCCACAGCAGATGTCTGTAGAGTCTCGTTGTCCAGACTCCTCTCAGTGTGCAGGAAGGTGGGGGGTCAAGAAGAGGATTGATTAACTCCTTTGGGTCAACCATGAGCTGGCCCCTCAGATTGGCTCATTGCTGCCCTCTACAGGACTGGGGGTCTCTAGGCAAGGCCAAGGGGGGGGAGGGGGCGGTGGCCGTCCTTTAGGTAAACTGCTGCGTCACCATGGTAATGTGACAACTTGCTGAAGAACTGCCCAGTCACAGTGTCATTAAATGGCTGATCCTAGCTGAGAGCAGAGAGTAGGCACAAGGCAGAAGTCCTCTAAGACTTGACTAACGGTTTTTGGCCAGACTATGATTTGGAGGGAGTCAGGTCTCAGAGTATTTGGCTGAATTGTATAAAACCTTACAGTGATACGGGGTGCACTGGATTGAGGTGGGAGGCCGCCCTCCCTTGTTTTTTCTTCCCAAGCGTGGGTGGGGTGGGGGAGGGGCTGGATACCGTCTAAGATTCCCTCTTAACCTGAGTGTTTCTGTGAACTCTGGATTCCAGGTGAACATGATGACCTTGGCAGAGCACATCATCGAAGCCACACCTGATCGAATCAAGCAGGAGAGTTTTGTGCCCACGGAGCCCTCGGTGTTGGAAAGAGCAGACACTGTAGCCATCAGCAGTACCATGAGCTGGCTGGCCAGGTACCTAGCCGATGTCGATCGTCTGCCGAGCGCCACCCAGATCAGGTCAGTGGAAGACCATGGTTCACGGACCGCCGTAAATGCCTGGGCTCAGTGGGAGGCATGGGAGGCTAATTAGAGCTGATGAATGCTCTGTAACAGGAGACCTCGGGAAGGAAACACTGGGACAAGTTCCTTCACCACCTTCAGGTCCCTGCTCACGTCCTCACCTCTTCTGTGACTTTTCTCCCCTTGTAGCACATGTGAGGTCACGTTCCGTGATGTTTCCCTCCCAATTCACCTGAAGCTTCACGAGGGCCGGGCAGCGTCTTCAGTGGGTTTAGTATTTAGCATAGCGCTAAACTCATAATAGGTACTCGGTAGGAACTTACTACCTGAAGGACAGTTAAAGTACGGGATGTGTTTAGCAACTTACTGGACTGAATGAAGGCATATTCTTAATAGTTCACAGTGGCCCTTGTCTCATTACTCAGCACTATGTAATGGATCATGCAGATCAATCACCGGTCTCTCTCCCTTGTGTCTCCTCTTGTTTCAGAAGTGCATATAACGAGCCTCTAACCCCTTCTTCTAATACCAGCTTGAGCCCTGTTGGCTCCCCAGTCGGTGAAATAGCTTTTGAGAAACCCAGCCTTCCCTCAGCAGCAGATTGGTCGGAATTCCTGAGCGCATCTACCAGTGAAAAGGTCGAGAATGAATTTGCTCAGCTGACTCTGTCTGATCACGAGCAAAGGGAACTCTATGAAGCTGCCAGGCTTGTCCAGACAGCTTTCCGGAAATACAAGGTAAAGTGGAACAGAGTCCTGATGTGACATTCGTAAGGTTGGGGAACACAGATGGAAGTCAGAATCATCCAAACTAAAACTTAAGCCTTTTTTTTTTCTTTTTTTGCTGAGTCTGTAGAATTGTTCTTTGGAATTATTATGCCACACGAAATTATTAATAATTTTCAGAAGCTTTAGGGAAATAAAACTGACCAGTAGGGTGTAGTTATCACCATCTCAATTTATTCTTGGTAATGATGACGGATACTTATTATGTAGTTAGTATAGAGGAAGTTGATACCTCTGCCACAGGAATTTATAACCTAAAGCAGGGGTTCTTAAGGGCCTGGGACTGACTGTAGGCAGCCCTGAAATCTTATGCTAAAGCTTGTGTGTGCATTTTTGGTGGGAGAGGGTCCGTGGCCTTCCACAGTTTCTCAAAGGAGTCTTTGACCACCCCGAGAAGGTGTTAAAAGCCAATAATCATCGACCCCAAAGTTAGAGTAGTTGGGGTTATATTGGGAAAGACAATGGAAATCCGGCAGCATGTAAGGGGAAATGGTACAATACCTGATTTGTTAAATACTTGGAAAATGAATATTTTTAGACCTCCTAACATCCAAATATCATAGTTCTATTCAGAAGCAAGAATCACAGATTTATCCTGTAAGTTCATTTTTTCCTAATTTCTCCTTGTAATTAATTACCACTGTATTTTGGTAAACCTGGGGCCTCCGAAAAAGTTATAAATGAGTAGTAATTCTAACTTAAGTCTGAAGAAAGTTGACATTTCTTACACCAAAGTGTTATTTCTTACACTAAATTGTGTTTTTCCTTCACTTTACCCTTCAGGGCCGACCCTTGCGGGAGCAGCAGGAAGTGGCCGCCGCTGTCATTCAGCGTTGTTACAGGAAATATAAACAGGTAAACCACAGCTTTGGTCGCAGTAGGAAGTGCAGCTTGTCCAAACAGCAACAGGCCCCCGAGGATTGTAGCATGTGGTCTGGCTAGAGAGCGCTATGTCCAGCTCCTGATTCAAAGACAGACTTTGAATTGCATTGACCAAAAACCAGAGGGAAATGTTCCAGAGCGGGGGGTAAAAAACGAACCAAAAAACCATCTGCAGTTAAACTTACCTCACAAAATAACTTCTGTTCAGATTGTTGGCCTTTCAGTATTATGAGCTATCTGAGATGTTGGTGTGACACAGAGAAAGTTATTTGCGTCTGAAGGGAGGCTCTGTGTTCCAGTAATTGTACCTGGAGTAATTGAAGAACTCTAGAGAGTTTGATGTGGTGATCAGAGAAGAGAAATAATGGCAGTTGTCTTTGACCCTGAGTTATAGAAATTATCTGTTCTCGAGCCACTTTTCCTTTCAGCTTCTTCCCATCCGTTTTCAAATGAAGACTTGGAAAAATCTCTGAAAATCTTAAGACGCCCAGAGCATCTTAAACGGCTTTTGCATTCCTTAGTTAAGAGATGCAGGAAGAATAGCTAAGTGTTCTTTCACGCAGTATTACCGTTTCCAAAACACCCTGTCAGGTTACCTAACTGCCATCACCTGGGAAAGGGCACTAAAGTGCATGGGGCCCTGAGGATGTCCTAGAGCTTGCAGCCATACCATCTCATCACACCTGCTCCCAACAGTGACCGGCGATAAACAATTTTATGTCCCTTTTAAGATGAAGAAGCTGAGGCTCAGAGAAATCAAGACAATATTAGGTTTTCCTAACCACCTGGGTGGTTAGAAAATATAAAAACTTACCTAATTGAGTTTTGACTGGCCCGTCCCGTATGATGAAGTTCAGGCCTGTCAGTAGATCGCAGAACCTTTCAGTAGACAGTGCTCTAGGTAGGTTTTAAACTTTTACTTAAGGAATAATATATGCTGAGATGTGTAATAGTCATGTGCAAGTGTGGTATTGTGTTCTCTTGTTACGATACGGGGCTCACTTTGATTTCTGATATGGGTCGCCACGTTCTTGAGTTTCTCTCGGATTAGCGCTCCTAGTGAAAGGGGGAGGGCTGGGAGGAGTCTTCAGCTTCTAGCCGGTTGAGTTCACGATCCCAGAGAATGAAGGTTTATTGTGTAAACGCTGGCACCACAGTACCTGGCTCTGTCCTCACATTATCACAAGCGAGACACATAAAGTTTCAAGTCTGTGATTACAACAGGTATTTATTCCAAAAGATGAGTCTGAGTTTTGGTTTTGGTTTTTAAAACCACCCCCCCAGAGAAGTGTTGTCTACAACCAGAAAAACAGAAGACATGATTTTTTGAAATACTGACAAGTATAAGACAAGTATTTCGGAAGATGGAAGGCATTAATGTAGCCAGATTACTTTACTTTTTTTTTTTTTTTCTTTTTTTCCGGTTGGGAGTTTTATTGGTTCTGGTTTTTAATTTCCTTCTATTCAGCAATCTAACGTTAATCTTGTATTTTCTGTTTCTCCCCAAGCTGACATGGATAGCCTTGAAGGTAATGACACCCAAGTCCCCTCACAAACCATTCCACCAAAGTCACAAACTTCACACCCATCACCAGCTACAAGAAGGGGCCATTAAGACGGCAGGGTCAGGAAACAGGCGTACTCCCCTTACCAGGCCACCTAACCACAGTGCATCTCCGGGGGCCACGTGGTTATTCAGTTGGAGTGGGTTTTGGCATTAACAGTCATCGGACATTTTCTTGGCCATGTCAGTCTAAAGAATCCATCCAAGCCGATTCCTGTGAGCCCAGCGAGCCACTCAGTGCATCTCCCTTCCTCCTGGTGTCCCTCACTGTGGCCCGGTAGTTTCTGAATGTGCAGTGTGCATGGGCCAGGGGGCTGAAAACTACAGGAGCCCTGTAGGCTACAGCGCCGTCCTAAAAGATTTTTGGGCAAATGAAAACGGAAAGCAGGTCAGACGAGACTAAAGAGGATTCTTGCACAAGGGTCTTGTGTCTTGAACATTCTGAGAAGTCAGTTCCCTCCCATCACTCCAGTACAGGCAGAGATGACCTTAGGCACAGGGATTTTCTCAGGAGTATTTTTCCCCATGATGGTAAGTTGCCTTCTTGCAAGCAAAGTGCTTCCTTGTGACTTCTTGTCCCCAGAGTCCTATTGTATTTCATTAGCAGTTTGGACATCGCATTTTTTAAATATGGAGAGCTCTGTAATTTTAGTGCCTAGAGACGGAAATGGAAGAGAACTCCTTCTCCCGTGCCTTCATCCCTCCCTCGTGCAGTGCTGCAGGCTGGGCGGAGGGCTCCCCGGTCCTGTGACACTTTTCCCGGTTTCATGGCTTCACCCCTGTGTCGGTCTCATGAGTATTAACTTTTTGCAGGTTAAATGTCTTAAAGGTGTCAGCGTTTCATGATAAGCCTTGTATTTGGGACCTTGCAACTCAGAAATGTGTCCTACGGAACTGTAGTTAGGAATCAGCTGCTGACTGCTCTAAGTAGGCTTGTGAGTGGTGGTGATTGGGATGCATAAAAAAGGTTATTTTAAAATGTTTCAAAATCGGATAGTAAATATTAAACTTTGAATTTGTACTTTCTAAATATGCTTTTATTATTCCTAAACGTCTACACATATCGCTATTTTAAAAATGTTTTTTCAAGAAGGGCAAAATATTTGACGTTTGTGGGGAAAAAGCACATTTAAAGCAATACATTGTCTGAGGGCAACCCTTAAACTAATATTTTGCATTTGGGAAAGATAGGTGAAGAGGTTCCTAGTCTGCCTCCTTGGTGACTGAACCCGAGACAGAGACTGCGGTGATCAAGGAGAAAGAAAGGTGTTTCCCTCCTTGCCTTCCCCGGCACGCTCAGAGGACACCCAGACTTGTGGGCTCCTGTTGTTACTGTCCTGCTTCTTCTTGTTTCCCTGCAGTATGCACTTTATAAAAAGATGACACAGGCTGCCATCCTAATCCAGAGTAAATTCCGAAGTTACTACGAACAAAAAAAATTTCAGCAGAGCCGGCGTGCTGCCATGCTGATCCAGAAGTGTTACCGGAGTTATAGGAAGTGCGGCAAGAGACGGCAGGCTCGCCGAACAGCCGTCATCGTACAGCAGAAACTCAGGTGGGTGGAGCCGTCACAGGGCGAAGCTGTCTGGGGAAGAGGGCCTTGGCATCATGGAAGGAGTGGCCCTGCCCCGACGTGAGGGGTGACACGCTTGTCGCGGGGACTTTCTTGACAGACCACGCTAGATGCTGTGACTGCGTGTAGTGATACCCACGCTGTCAGTCCGTCTTTGTCTGTTTAGCAGCTTCTGTCTCCAAGCCCCCCGCCCCCCAGTTATTTCGGTCTCCCCCCCACCCCGACTTCAGCTGGGGTGGGAGTCTGGCAGGACCCAAGTTCCTGCTCAGAGAGGGCGCTCCTCCGTTGGGCAGTCGGAATTGTAGTGTCCCTGCGTGCGAGACCTCGGAAGGATAGCTAGAGGCCAGCTAGTCCATCTTAGCGTGATGGGGACTCTGAGCGCAGTGAGAGAGCCGACAGAAGAAGTTCAGGAGAGTATCAGACTCGGGCGAACCAGCTTCGACCCTGAGAAAGCCTGTGTAAGGCCGGGACGCATTCTTCCAGAAAACGAGCTCACGAAGGGTTGTGAAAGGACAGCCGAGCGTCACCGTATGTTGCACTTGGGCCCTGTGTCGCTCACAGCCAGGGGGAGGGGCTGCCACCCCCTCCTCCCTTCCCCGCCGGCACTGCCCAGGCCTGCCCTGCTGTGGGGTTTGCTACCTGAACTGTTTCATTAAAGGCCCTCTGCCACTGCTCCCCCGTTTTCAGCGTGTGCCCATCAAGCCTCACGGGACCCTTCTTGTGACGGTGATATTCCGGCTTTTTCAGGAGCAGTTTGCTAACCAAAAAGCAGGACCAAGCTGCTCGAAAAATAATGAGGTTCCTGCGCCGCTGCCGCCACAGGTAACCCTCCTCCTCACCTGGACGTTTGCTCGTCGAGAGCCGCACCACCGCCCTAACCCTCCGAACCACGCGTGACCGCCTGTGCAGAGCGAGTCCCGGCATTCATCAGAGGAAACATCCCGAATCGCTGTAGGCGAGCGGAGCTCTCTGACTAGGGACTGAGCTGCCACTCCGGGCACCCGGGTACCCGTCTCAGATTCCGTGGTAAAGAGCGAGCAGTGGAGGCTCAGGCCGGTGACTTTCTGTCTTAGTTTGGGTGTGAGGACAGCTTAGCTTTTAATTCCCGTTTGTCTTTAACCTCTTATTTGTGTGCCACACGGCCGCACGCTCTTCACCCCCAGCCCTCCCCGTGCCAGTGTGTGTCCACACAGAGAATAAACAGAGTTCCTGTTCTCAAGGAAGGGCTAGAAAACCACTCCCTCCTTCCCTCCCTCCAGGTTCTCCGACCGAATGGCGGGTGCCCTCTGCTGGAGATACGCAGGAAGGGGAACCCGGCTGAGCTGAGAGGTGCATTTTCAACTAGGAGGAAACAGGCTCCCGTGACCAGGGCCTTCCCTGGAGACAGGACAGCTTCCCGCTAACTGGCTAGAGGGGTTTCTCTTTGTTCCCTCAAATTTGAGCTTCCTTTGTGAACACTAGGCTCTTTCCTTAGATTTGGGGGGAGCTCGTTTGGTGAGATCGTTTGGTTTCTGGATTAGGTTAGCATTCTGGTCTGACATCTGGGCCAGGGGCCCCCTGAGCTGTGTTTGGATGACCCTGTGTGGTGTCGTCACTTCCCTGATGCTTCCCTGCGCATCAGGAGCTGTGCGGTTTACAGAGCCGAACTCTGAAGCAAGCTCTTTGACGTCTCATTTCCTCTTCCTGTTTCATTTTACCTAAGGCCTGAGTGTCCAGATTCAATTCGATTCGACAGAGGTTCCCTTTTACTTCGGTTTTTCTTACTCCTGAACCTGTCTGCTTGCTAGCTTGGAAACTCTTTGGACTTTGAGACTTAATAGGGGTTAACTGTCCATTTGTACTTTCACTTCTGTTAACAAAAGAATTCTATGATGTTAAAAGGAAAGGTGCACAGAGCCACACGTTAACAATGATAAAAACTTTTAAAAGAACATTCTCTAGGATGTATTTGGTGTTCTCTAACTAGAATGCTATTTGGAAGAAGCTAATGCGCACCTCCTGAGCCTCAGCAAGCCATTTGCTCTCAGCCACCACGCATGACTGGGGTCTTTGCTCCCGTAATTAGCTAGCCGATGAGATTTCAATGTCGACACTCAGCTAGGAAGTCTTGTTAGGAAATGCAGATGAAAACATGAGGCGCTTGTGACATAATCACATTCGTTCTGGCCTTCCCGAGGGCGGTCTCTCTTCGCTCCCACTAGTCCTACCTTTGCCAGCATGAGAGTACTTGCAACCAGATAGGGTGGTTGATTTTCTCTGTTCGTGAAACCTCTGGGGCTTCCCTAGGCCTTTTTCCAGAGGTTCTTACATGTGCTCACACTCCTTCCTTCTTCCTCTCCAACCTGCAAAATGAAAAACAAAGGAAGATTCTACCCAGCCCTGTCCAGACTGCAGTTAATGCTTTCCCGGGACATTTTATTTTCAAGAAAATTAGCTTTATATTGCTCTTTCTTAGGCCACTTTGAACAAACCTAATGTTCACAAATCATGTTTTCCTTGTTTCTCCTAGTCTTCTCCTCAAGCTTTGAAAACACGTATAGGTAGTGTAACCTTAGTCATTATGAGCAAACTGACATAAAGTCCCACTCTCCTTTTCTTTTCTTTCTCGTCTAAAGCTGTGCCCTGTGTTTACACTGGGCGTGTTGAGAGGGTAAGCTACTTAAACAAACGTATGTGCATAAAAGGCTACCCCCCCCAAGAGTAGACTGGGCAAAGGAATCCTTTCATTCTTGTTTTCAAAGCTCTCTTTTTATAAACTAGTAGAAAAGAAGTTCATGATTACTTTTCTCAGGTTCATATTTTAACTAGTAGTAACCTTTTCAGGGTGGCAAAGTTTGTTATGAGGAGAACATCAGATTATGGACTCTGAATTCCTACTCATTGTTTGGGATGAAATAAAGACCCCAACGGGCTCTTTTCCTTACTTGCCCTGGAATAGTTCAGAGGTTAGGAAAATTATGCAGGCAAATTTTAATGACCTTTAGATGCCGACTGTGTCAGATCCGTAGTCTCTTCCCATCCCTGTATCCTGAATATCGATAGAACTGAAAGTCCAAGCTCCTCTTTTCCCTACGATGAACATAGCCCTGTTTCCATTCTGTGGTACTAAATATTATTTTAAGAGAAACTGTCATGTGTCCTGTCCCTGAGAAGCATTAAAATAGAAAACCTCATATGACACCCTCTCAGAAAAGGTAGGTAGGTAATGGCTTCAGGAATCAATAAGTGTCCCGTTTCTTAAGGATTTTGCTAAGTCATACGACCCCCACGTTTTTAGACTTCACGATAAATTGGTGAATTTACTACCTGCTCATTTCACATACCCTGTCACCACTCCTTTCTTTCCAAAAAAGGAACCACTTTATACTCTCTTTTGTTGTTGTTGTAATAAAGCTATGTATAAGGTTTCTGTTGTGACCCTCACATGCTAATAGCTCTTTGGTGTTGTTTTACTGTCTAAAGCCCCCTGGTGGACCATAGGCTGTACAAAAGGGTGAGTTTAGCTGCCTGCTAGCCAGTGTTTACCTTTATCTTCCATTTTCAATATTTTGCTTTTTGCTTGCTTGCATGGGGCTGCAGCCTAGGTATGCCAGTAAGTTTCACATCCATTTTGAATGAAATAAGATAAAATGAAAACTAACCCTAATTACTAACACTGCTACGTGATACAACATGGAAATAGTCACATACAGCAGATGGACAAATGCATGAGTGAGAGAAAGGGAGGCCCTTCTGAAACTGCTGCAGGGCATGCTTAGAAGTTGGGGGAGTTGAAACAAGGCTGCACCATAAGAAAACATCCAGCAGGTGGTTCTTTGTGATTCAAATAATTGGCCACAATGAATTCTCTCAACTACTGCTGAGTCCAAATTTCTAAAGCAAGAAAGCGCACCAGGTGATAATGGCTTTTTTTTTTCCTTATTTTATTTTATTTTTTTAATGAATCCATTTCTTATTTAGAGTTACTATTTCCCCGTTACCCTGTTCCTCTAGTTTCATTTTCTAAATCTCCCTTTCCCTGGTGCCGTGAGGTAAGTCAGCACACGAAGCTGCCCTTTCAGAAGCAATGCAGGACGTTCATTATAACACAGCGAGCAAACTTGACTTCCAGAATTTAATGGCAATGCTGAATAAAGACTACGTGGTGTAAAGTGTCTTAAGTCTGTATATCCTATGTTGCAACGAAGACGGGATGTTCCAATAGAATTTGTATTTTAAAGAAATGATAATGGAGAGGTATCCGGTAGACACTATTGATGTCCTTGAGATTTTAGAATAGGACGCTGATTTGTAGGTATGCCCAAGAGGCAGAAGTCTCTGTCACATGGGACTATGACATGCCAGAAGTTACAGTAAAGGATTTAGGGTCAGGAAATTGATTTAAAAGCCAGGAATACCACTCACCAAAATCCTATTTGAATGTGGATTAATTTGACAACTTTTGTCTGATAGACTTAAGATGCACTTAAAAAATTAACACGGGAGTTACCTCTGCCAACTCAACCACATTCAACGCCCTCCCTTCCTAACCCTACAGTAATACTGGAGTCATGTTTAGGATTTCAGAGAAGAGATTATAATTCAAAAAATCTAAAACTTCTAATGTTTCTGGAGCTCATATTTTTCATCCAAGTACATTTATGTGGATCCTGGTATTTTGCTCGTTATATTTTAAGTCAAAGGCCAGCTAACTTTTGCTTAAGAGGCTTTAGTAAGCTAGTAAATACCTTGTGCTCTGTGGGCCGCACGGTCGCCTTCACAGCTACTCAGCTCTGCCATTGGAGCGTGCACGTGCCCGTAGCTAATACGTCCATGAATGGTTATGGCTAGTGTGCCAATAAAACTTTATTTACACAGATACTCATCGGGCTGGATTTGGCCCGTGGGCTGTAGTTTGCTGACTGACGATGACAGGAGAATTGAGTTTTTATAAGTTCTTCCTAAAACAAGATTCTATCCCTATAGGAGACTCAAAGTCTCACCTGGTTAAAACCATGGATAGTCACTGAAAGAAAATGTATTTTTAAAAAAATGAAGCAGCTACACTCTTCTGTAAATTTAACCAGTTAGTCCTCTTGAGAACCAGGCAGTTGTTTACAGTTGCCCCGTGTAGTAGAGCTGGCTCGGAGACAGTGTTTAAAACATAAGAGTAAAAGGGGACACAAATCTCCATTTCTTTCTCTTTCTGTTCCTTCTCACTGCCTACATACACAGATACTATTTCTTTCCACTTAGAAGCACCTCCCAAAGAGCAGACGCATGACCTAGGATTCAGTTGAGCTAAAAGTTGTAGTATCTTGCCTGTGCCATTAATAGTCGCCACAAGGAACCAACATTTAGTAAAAATGGTTGCTTATGCACTTTTGAGACTTGTTCGCTTCTGGTATGTCAGTGATCATTTTTAAGAGTACATTTTCCAAAGATGCTCTTCAACACCAGAATCCCTACCTTAGCTTCTTTAGCACCTGCTGCATTCCATCATAAGCTCCTAAAACTCCCCCCCGGGCGTGGAAGGTTGGAATCCCCTGACACGCCTGCACCTGCAGTCTCCAGGGAGTTTGAGAGATAGGAGCTGAGCAGCGCAGGTTCATTCTAGAGTGGTGCTGTTTCTCTCCCCGTGGCTCTAATTACCAGTAAGATCTCCCTCCCTCTCTGTTCCATCAGAGAAGCCACAGGGGCCCTTCCGCCAACAGTCCCCAAGTTGAAATGACTCTTGGGAGGCAGAGCATTCTCCGAGGAAAGTTCCTGGAGTTTATGTCAATTCCTGGAGTTTGTGTCAAAGAAGTTAATATACTTATTAATGTATGAAGTATACCATATTTAAGACATTTAAGCTTGATACATCAAAAGATAATATTTGAAAACTGAAGGAATTAAATTTTGCTGTGCAGCATTTGTCAGATATTATTGAACCCTGCCTCCTAGAAGGATGAAGCAGAAGGCTATCTAGAAAGGCAGGTGATGTCGGTCATCAGAATTAAGGCACAGTAGGCTAATTCCAGGAGCATGGCAATCAGAAAATATCATCGTGTCTTCCAGTTTTTAGTCTTCACTTGGGGAAGGCAAAGAAAAAGCCCCAAATACCCTTCACCGCATCAGCTTATTTTCACACAGCCTTTCATCCAGGCTTAGCCCCTAGTTTACCCACATAAAATAGAGTTTCCAAATTCTCAAGAACTCTTGCAGGGATTTGTTTTGTCTTGGATACAATAACTGTCCTATTTAAAAGAAAACTTCTGTTATGCACAGAGATATTTAAATCAACAGTCTTAATTATTATTTCAGTTAATTTAGGTGTTCTACTACTTTCACACAAAAAATGACTGGAG